AGGTCCATTTGTGATAGAGTCAAGAAGACCGGAGGATTGGTCCTTGCTCTCCAAAAAGTTCAGGAATCGGTTCTTCCATACATTGTACTCCCCTCTTCGAAGAATCGGGGGTCTTGTATCATTTCCAATCGATAAAGCATCCATCTTAAATTTGATCGGGCTGATCAGTTGATTGAATAGGTTCTGTTCTGTTGTTTGAGTCTACAGTCAGATGTCTTTGTTCTGGTTGCAGAGTGTCAAGATTGCGCAAGTACTGAGAGGTTTGCTCAAGTTGTAGAAGGATCGCTCAACTTTTGAAGGATCGCTCAACTTTTTACAAAAGATTGCCCAACTCTCAAAAGATCGCTCAACTTCTTACAAAAGATCGCTCAACTCTCAATAAAAGATCTCTCAACTCAACAAACAATCTCTCAACTTTACAAAAATCTCTCAACTTAAAAAAATATCGCTCAACTAAAAGAAAGTTCGCTCAAAAAGTGTAAGATTGCTCAACTACAAATCTCTCAACCTTAAAAAGATCGCTCAACAATAATAAAAGATCGCTCAACTTAGTAAACAATCTCTCAACTTCTAAAAAAATCTCTCAAGTGTAAAATCGCTCAAGTTCTGGATCGCGCAAGGAGGTTTGCGCAAAGTGTCGAATCGCGCAGGAGGATCGCTCAACCTGAGTAAAATTGCGCAAAGTTCAATTTCGCGCAGGAAGAGTTGCGTGAAGTCTGAAATCGCGCAGAAGGCAAATGGAGCAAATCCAGAATCGCGCAGGCAATGTTGCGCGAAGCTTGGGATTGCGCAGAAGTCGTTGCGCGAAATCTGAGAAGCTTGAAATCGCGCAGATGGCACGTTGCGCGAACCTGTTCTTCTTCCCAGCGAGTTGCGCTAAATATCAGAATCGCTCAACTTCTGCCTGACCTGTACGCCAACTTTCAGATCGAGATTTTTCACAGAAGTGATCCCAGCAACATTAGAAACCCTTTCCTTCAAGCCATTTCCTGCAAAAACAACAACAAAAAATAGAACCAGAAATCACTCAAGTGCGAAACTTCAACGATGAAGAATCGCGCAGGAGTGTTTTTCAGCCTTCAATCGATCGATCAGCTCCGGCTCTGATACCAGATGTTAGGTCCCTGTTTTCTAATCTATAAAATGTATGTATGGAAGATAGATCTGGGAATGAAGCTTTCCATTGATGTGATAAAGAAGTTTACAGAATGGTGAACAATTTAGCGTAAAACTTCTATCACGAGAATAGGCACTGCGGCACTAGGAATATTGAAAAGCTTAACCTAGCCTTTCCCTTAAGGCATATATATAGCCTGACGGGAAAGGTAGGTTTTACAATCATTTGGGCTCCTTTTCCTAGGAGGCCCATACCTAAAAAGGTATAAAACCTTTATTACATATTTGCCTTAAAAGGCCTATTCATTATTCTAGCTAGTCTATTAAATTAAAATGCTAAATATAAAGAGCTAAGAAACATTGATCACAATATAATGAAAATATCTCTAACACTCACTGATAGATCCCATGTCACCTATGGCCGGTTCCGGGTCGGGCTCCAGGTCTGGGAAATTAAGTCTCAGTACCGGCCCGGGTTAGAATAGGGACCGGGTCGGGCTAAAACTATTCTTTTTGGTCTTTTAGAATGAATTTGAACCCCCACCCCAAACCCACCCCAAAATGCCCAGCCCCACACACCTAGAACCAGCCCAACCCCCAAAAAATTAATAAAAAAACAAAAAAAATATTTGGGCCCCGGATCGGGCCCAGCTCGGCTATGCCGGTGCATCTAATTCCAAGCCCGTAGCCCACCTCAATATGCCTCCAAATAGTGTCGGGCCGGGTACCGGGTTAGGCCAACCCGACCTAGTTCACCCCTAATGTCACCCATGTGTGATACATGACCCGTATAATTTCATTTAAACTAATATTTCACTCGTGCGATGCGACAATTTTTTTTGTTGTATTTGGTTTTTATTTAAGATGCATACTGAAATATTTATGCAGAATATATTTCTTCAAAAAAAAAAAATGAAGTACTTGATTGATATATGACGAATGTTATACTAAATGCATTTATAAATATTCTGGATATTTTACCCCCCCCCCCCCAAAAAAAAAAAAAAACTCTGGATACTAAATGTAATTTCTAATACATAAAATGTAGTACAAAATATCCAAAATATTAAAATTTTCTAATAGTACACTCATTATTTTCATCATGAAATATGCAACATTACTCAGGGAAAATTTTATCTCTTATTCCCTTAGACCCTTAATGGAAATTGTTGGGCCCAGATAATATTCGTCCAAATGGGCCAACAAGCTGGAATAATTGGCTCATTAAGTAGCCGAAGCCCATCATGCCAGATAAAGTAAAAAAGAAAGAAGTCCAAATGAAGAGGAAGTCCACCCACTCGCTCTTGATAACTTAAAATAGAAGATAAGAACGTGGAAGAAGTCTAAGGCTGAGGAAAAACAGTTGCACGTGGAGAGAAAATGAGTTGTTATACCGTGGGAGCAACCCACGATGAGCATGGTGCTCCCAAAGGTCAAATTCGTGTGTTACTGTTCACACGCGTGAACAGTAACTTTTTTTGTCCTTCCCTTGTCCCAGTAGCAGAGTGATGTAACTCGCGTGTAAAAAGATGTAACTTACGTTATTGACCAATGTAACTCAAGTTCATTCGAAATGTAATTTGTCAAATACATAGTATAAAAAATAAAATATTGATTTCAATGTGAACAATAAAAAAAAGTCTAATTGCACAATTGCTTTACATAAATAGTGTATATGTTTTATTTTTTAATGTCAAGGCCATTGAAAATGATTTTTAAAAAATCCTTTTTTTTTCTTCATTAGCAGGGGTTCATTTTCAAATGTAACTCGCATTCAGACAAATTTAACTCGCGTTGATTGAATATGTAACTCACATATATGCAAACATATATAGTTTTATCTTAATTTAAAACTTCATTTCTTTATATTCATGGCTAAAGTTAAAGTACGTATATCGCTTAGAAAATTAAAATTTAAAAGTAAAGTAATGTTCGGCGAATTTTGACGGTCTAGGCGGCTGATTAGGCGCTCTAGGTGGGCAACTAGGCGCCATAGGCGGTCGACTAATTCACCTAGACGGCAAACCAATTAGTTGGAGCGCCTAGACGAAAATCAGGGCGCCCGACCACCGCCTAGCGCCTAGGCGGGGACTAGTCGGGCGCCTAGAACGATTTTTAGAACAGAGCATACAGCTAGATGGATTTCATCGAGCAAACAGAGAAGATGAAGATCAGATAATGATATAACATTATCGAGAACAGAGAAACTTCAACTTTCTATTTATCGAGAAGTTTTACAGCATAAAGCTACGGAATTGAATGATCGACCTTAGGTTCTGTACAGGACGCACATATTTATAGGCGCTGTACAGTTTACCTAAAAGGGATACCTAGGAGTTTGGGCCTAAGACCTTTTTGGGCCTTATTCCCTTAGAGCCTATTTATTATATTTTATTCAATACCATAAATGGTAAACTAGTCTAATAAATAAACAAGACATAACAGACAAACTTGATTCACAATAAAATAGTTCTAACAATATCCCCATTGTAATCAAGTGTCGTCTTGCTTGGGTATCCTTTATTTCTGAGCTTTGTAATAGTGCTTGCGAAGATTCAATGCATGCTCATAGTTCCTGAGAGACTTTCTTCTGTCAAGCTGCTTCTCGATTGCTTTCAGAATATTATCTATTCTCTGTAGTTCTCTGTATTTGATTTAATGCTTAAAAAATCAAGTTATCTACTCCGTATTTTTTATCCTTTGAACTCCTTAACTTTTACTTCTCCTTAACCAGGAGATAAGCCCTCACGGTAGGATTAGTTGTTGCTATTCAGCAGCTTTCATTTTTTATCACCCTTTTATTCATGGTTTTTTTCATAGTTTCACTTGAATTGTTGAATCAGGGGTTTTAAAATCTAACCTTGTTACCCGTCCCGTCCCCCTAATAGACCTCATTATACTACTTTTCTCAAAATAAAAACATCTCTTAGTACATAATTTGCTTATTGTGTTGATCGATAGACTGATATGCCAAGCAGTTTAAGCACGTTGATTTGAATCTCTCTGCCAGACCAATATCTGTTGTCCTTTTATTTGAACTATTTGAACTGCCTGATCAACATATGGAGAACCTGAGTTTCCAGAACTCACTGCATTATGTGTATATGATGTAAAAAAGAAGTTGTCATGTGATAAGCCATTTCAATATCCCTTCTCTAATAAAGGATAAATTTCTCAGGTCATCAACAATGCTATTGTAGAATTATTTCGGTTGAAGTTCTGTAATTTGATCCAAGATATGAGTGGAGCCTGTGATGTACTATCTATTTTATAAGTAGCAGCAAGATGGTAACTCTTTGTACTCTAAACGGCTCTAGTTTCATCTCAAGATATTCAAGGGCTCTTTGGTGAAACAGCGGTTCTGAGGGGAAAACAGAGAAAACTACCAACCCATTTGTTGATGTCATATTGTAGTGTGCGTTTGGAAATTGTTTGTTAACACAATTGTTTGTATTGTCCTTGTCCCACTTTTTCAAAAAACTTGTGTTACAGTTTTGTTGTTGAGGGGAATAAAATGTCAATTCAAACTCAATGAATTACTTTTTAATATGGTTCTTTGTAATTTTTATCATCATCATCATCATCATTACCCCAGTGCAAGTACATGAAGTCCAGTCAGGGAAAACGGACTGTTATAAGTCAGACTTGCAATCATTTAGCCAAACAAAAAATATATGTAGCAATATAAAAGTGTTTTAAATTAGGGGTACAGCATGGTTCAAAGCAGTAAAGCTCATAAACAAAACAGAGAGATGTAGAATTGGAGGTATCCTAAACAAAAATGAATTTTAGCATTAGCATCTAATAATAATGTGTAAAATCTAAGTGTGCATATATGAGAGAAGCACGTAAATATAGTAATTAAAAGCACATTTAAAAATACATTTTTTTCCAAACAATAAACTTAATTATTATTAATCAAATCATGGCTCAAGGCCTGCAAAATACAATCAAGAGGGCTAATCATCCAAACTTGACAGTCAGACATAGAAACGACTGCCCGAAGAAGCTCATGAGCAACGCGATTCGCAGGCCGCCTAATAAAAGCAAACGAAATGCTATTAAAATGCTTAATTAAATCTCTTACATCATCCACTAATAGGCCAAATTGTGCTAGACCACCTCCATTTTGATAGCAGAAACAACCTCATATGCATCAGATTCAAAATCAATTAGATCCCAACCAATCTCCTTTATCCAGCTCAGCGCCTCCCGAACCCCAAGGATCTCCGCTTCTTTTGCCGAAATTCCTCCCAGCCATGGTCGAGCTCCTGCTGCCACAAATTCGCCATTAGCATCCCGCACTACCCAGGCAAGCCCCCGCCTTGCATTAGCCCCAACTGCTGCATCGATGTTAACCTTTAATCGCCCTTGCTCTGGTTTCCTCCACATCTGCAGCGGCTCTCTTCCAGAATGCTTCAAAGATGCACTGCACGTTTCCTGGACTGCACGCCATCCACCAAGAACAGATTTAGCTAAAGTGATGATCTGCTCTATTGTGCTAGCTTCCCCGTTCCAGATTTTCCTATTACGAAAGTTCCATAAACTCCAATAATACATAACAAACTCATAACATTGATCATCGTTCTTGGATGAGAAAAGATTTTCAACCCACTCCAATCACGATTGCCCAACACTACTCTTAACAAGCCAACCCAATTTCGTCCACAGTTCCGTCGCTAGTTTGCAAGACATAAACAAATGTGCTTCTGACTCATTGTCTTCACACCCAAAAGCACAACTTTGTGGCAGCTCCACCCTCCTTTCCCGGAGATTATCAGCACTAGCTATGTTACATGCATGTGCACATCTGCCAAAAGAAAATCTTTACTTTGGGGGGATAAAAAAATTTCAAACTCGAGTCCAACCCAGCCATCCTCCCGGGTTGTACTCCCCAACTAAGTATTTATAACAGCTCTTCAAGGAGAACTTCAATTCCCATCATTCTCCCACGCCCAAACAACTCGGTCAGGGACTACTCTCTTACTGATTGGAATACAAGTCACGTATCCCGATGCTCCAGCAAGTCATGTAAGAGATCGTTATCCCACCGACGTTCGCCTGGAACCAATAATCCTTCAACACAGGTCTGTTCCAGACCATTCACAGGGGCAAATTGGACCCTCGGATCGACCTGGTGCGGAAGCCATGGATAGCCCCATATACGGATAGATTTACCATCCCCAATGCACCATCGATAACCTGCTAAAACAACAGGTTTTGCCTCCCACACGCTACTCCAAATAAAAGATGGGCTTCCTCCCAACCCTACCTCAATAAAGGAAGAGCGGGGATAATACTTTGCCTTAAACATCCTTGCAGCCAGAGAATTTGGTTCAGTATGTAACCTCCATGCTTGTTTACCTAGCATAGCAAGGTTGAATTCCCTTAGTTTACGAAAACCCAGACCTCCTTTATTTTTTGGACAACAAAGTTTACCCCACTCCGTCCATCTAATCCCTTTCCTTATCCTCCCGTTCCATCAAAAACAATTCATTAACCTTTCAATCTCCAAACACAACTCCTTCAGAAGTAAAAAAGAAAAAAATATGTATTCATATATTTATACGCACAGACATGTGTACTCATTTCATATACATGCACACGCACAATAAAGAATAGTACTTCCACTTGCGTACAAGGACGACAGCCGCATGATCTCGCTGGACTACATCCTGTTCAACCCCAACGGCAGCACCGTTGACCCGCTGACCGGGCTGCACTACGACAACATGTTGTACGCCCAAGTGGACGCCGTGATCTTCGCGATTTACCGGATGGGGTTCGGTGGCGTGGAGGTGAGGGTGTGGGAGACGGGGTGGCCGTCCAAGGGTGGGCCCGGGGAGAGCGGGGCGACGCCAGAGAACGCGTCCATTTACAACCAGAACCTGATGAGGCGGCAGGCGGCGGATGAAGGTTCTTGCCTCAGAATTTCTTTGCTCCCTAGCTCCATCCATGTTTACCTTATGTGCCTTCTTTTTTATTGGAACACGAAGCTAATAAGGTTCTTGCCTCAGAATTTTTAACAATGTCTCATGTCTGCCACCCTTTGAGTTGCGCAGGGAAGAAGACGGCTTTCCTGGATTAGCTACTGGTTTCTTGTTTCACGTTTCAGTTTGACCTCGTCAAAAAGAAACGAACGTGCGGGATTTGATGGAGCAGTTTGTTAATGTTGAATATTGCAGTTAACAATCAGGGGCTATAGTGCAAATAATAAAACATCTACCTTAATCTAAAAGCAAAAGAATTCAGGAAACAGTTTTCCCGCTTAGATCTGTCGCTTTCGCAATACATTACTCAGTATTTTTTTTGCTCAAGTTCAACGCTAAATGTTAATTCATTCGGCATGGAGGTGTGAATAGTTGAAATGCATTTACAGGTGCTCCTATTGGTCTAAATGGGCGGTGAGCACTATTGGGTTAAATTCTGACTCCATTTGCCCTGCTGTTCACCTAACGTTACTTTTATTGGTGGAAAAGGAGGTCCAAACAGTGTATGACAGTGGCCCATACCATCTGACCCTATTATTGCTGATTTCTTCAGGTATAAAAACCTCACTCCAGCGGCATTTTTATCACATCCATTCTGCGTTCTGGCTCAAATAGCAAAAATAGAAACAAAGTCATCGTTCAATGACAACACAAATCCTTATCCAACGTCCTACATATGAAAAAATAGAAACAAAGTCATCGTTCAATGACAACACAAATCCTTATCCAACTTCCTGCATATGACAATTTTAGAGCATTGTAAAGAAGGATACAAAAGGTGATCCGTCTATTCATGGAGAAAAGTCAGAATGATGTGATAAATATTCTATATTTTTTGTTCATGGCTGTTTTTACTCTGGATTGAAGATGGTGTTTATTTGAATTGAAATTGTGTTACTTTGTGTTTCTCAGTTCTTAGAGTTTTCATCGTTAAAAGAGATGGTTTATCCTCTTTGGCATAAGACTTTGATATTGTTTATCTACTAAGTCTCTTCTATATTGCCCAAGTTTCAATTTTCTATTAACAGTGAAAATAGTAGGGCAAAAATAAGTTAGATGCTTCATCTTTTGCTAATAGGAGTAAAATTGCTAACAATATCCGTTTTTAGACACAAAAACATGCGGTCAAATACAATGTCATCCATAATACTTCTTAAACTTTTGGAGTTCATTTTTTTAAATACAAATGACAGGCTCTTGGAGTTTTGGTTGTGAACCTCATTGTAGTTTTCCTTGAAGACATTGTTTAGAACGTCAAAGGTAAAATTTTACTTCAATGGATATTTTAGTAATTGATTAACCAAGACAGATATATTTCATATCATGCCACCAAAACTTCTGGGGTTTTATTTCAGATATTAAATTTAATTTAGTGAGATAGATAGCTTTCCTATATGAATGTGACTGGGGTTTGGTATTGGACATATGTGTCATGTGAGTTTTACAGCATGGTTAAAAAGAAAATGTTTTCCAAACAACCATATAAGACAATATTTATACTCCCTCCGTCCCGCTATGATTGTCCCATTTTACCTTTTCGGTCCGTCCCACTAAGATTGTCTCATATCTTATTTGGTAAAATTTGTGTGGTTCTAAATCATTTTTACTTTATTCTTACTTTATCAATTTAATATCAACAGATAAACCCACTTTTATTAATAACCGTGTCACCTTGTTTTGTCCCAAACTTAGGGGGACGGAGGTAGTAGATCGTATGGGACAACCTTCTATTAAAACAGACTGATAAAAGTTAAACATATAGTAATATATAACATGAATGTTATAAAATTGTCTAATATTTTCATACGAAGTATGAAATGCAAACAGTAAATAATATTCACACGGGATCTGATCTTAAACATAAATATGTTGGAAAACAATCTAAAATACACGTTTTAAACATAATGGTATGGACTCTTAAACATAGAGATTTAATAAATAAAAAAATAGGTTTTAAAAAAAATTAGGAATAAGACCGAAATAGTTGTTGAGATAATTCAAATTTGGAAATTAAAACCAATAACCAGTCATAAAAATACAAAAGAACCAGGGGTTCGAATTTGGGGTGCAAGAATAAATGCCTGACTTGAGTGGGCTGAAACTAGCGGTGGTTGTCAAGGTGAAGGAGATATTCTGGTGGCGGTTGAAGTTGAGCGAGAACCGGCAGCAGTGGCTGAACTTGACGGAGCAACGGCGGCAGCGGCCATGGACGACATCCCTGAGCTTGGTATGAGTTTGTGTTGGTGATTCTATTGGCTTTGAACTAAAATATATCTTTGTTCTTCATAGACAATTCTCTGTATTTGTGTAGTGTATAATATCGTCTGTGTGTTTGTGAAGTGTATATAATCTTGTCTGATTTGTGTTCAAAATGTTATAAAATAACTTATGTCTTTGTAAAGGCTAAAAGATCAAATAGGCCCTTGAACTGACTTAAAGTTTTCAATTAGCCCCTTACATAGGAGGTTCTGCCCGGCCGTCGCCAATTGAGGCGGTTCCCGGTGGAATATTTTGATGAAATTTTTTGAGCATCTTATTCATTAACTCTAGTTTACTCATACCAAATTTCAGCTAACAATTCAACCGGGAAGGCAGTCAAATGATTTTTTGAAGGTAACTGCGAAGTTAAACAACACAGTACATTTTGGAAAATCATTTGACTGCCTTCCCGGTTGCATTTGTAGCTGAAATTTGGTGTGAGTAAACTAAACTTAATGAAGAAGATGCTCAAAAAATTTCATCAAAAAATTCCACCGGGAACAGCCCCAATTAGTGACGGCCGGGTAGAACCTCCTATATAAGGGCTAATTGAACACTTTAAGTCAGTTCGAGAGTCTATTTGACCTTTTAGCCCTTTGTAAATAAACTTCTATTTGAAATGTCTGTGTGTAAACATACTTTTGTCGGTGGGTATATATACTTATGTCTATCCGTAAATATACCACTGCCTCTGCGTAAATATACTTCGGTTTTAAATGTCTGTGTGTGAATATATTTCTGTCTGTGTGTATACATACTTCTGTTTTTATATATATTTCTGTCTGCGTAAATATACTTCGGTTTTTAAAATTACCTCACGGAACTTTAAAACATGCAATTCAAGTCTCAAGAAATAAACAATACACTAAATGGCATTGCCATTCCCGAAATGAGCGCGCATTTGATTTGCTATTCAAAAAACTAGTCTTTTACCCGTGCGTTACACGGTAGAATAGACTTATCCAAAATGCTAGTCTAACCATTATTAATACGATCATAGTTCAAGTGCATCATAATTCAAAATGGTGGAATAAGATTCCAATATACTCCCTCCGTCCCAGAAAATTCTTCCTAGTTTGACTTGGATCGGAGTTTAAGAAAGTGGGAATAAAGTGGAAATGTGTGGTTGTAGTTGTGTAAGAAAAAGGTGAAATGAATGTGAGCCACACAAATAATCAAAAAGGTGAAGTTGGAAGAATTTTCTGGGACGTCCCAAAAAGGAAAGTTGGAAGAATTTTCTGGGACGGAGGGAGTAGCTTTCAGTCCCAAAAAACGGCAGCCCGTTCAAGATTGCAAGATTATGAGCCACTCGATTCGCTAAACGCTTCGCATGAGAGAAAGTCATGATAAAAAAACAGCGACTAACTTTTTTATATCCTGAACAACCAAACCAAAAGAAGATTCGTATGACGCAGTTTGAACAGTTTGAATATATTGTAAAGCAATGGATTCGACGTCAACGCAATCCTTACCAGCCTCTATCCAGCTAAGTGCTCTCTCATCACCAAAGCCTCAGCCTCAGAAGGAATGTAATCACCTCGCTTTTGAATAGCACCACCTGCTAAAACAATACCTTCATGATCACGTGCCACCCACCCCAAACCGGTGACTCCCGATCCACATTTAACTGCTGCGTCAATGTTAAGATTCCAACTGTCAGCATTTGGTATCGTCCATGACTTCAAGCTCTGTTGCTGCCCTTGTTCCTTGACATCAGGTTGCTGCTGCACCCTTTGCCACCCATCAAGGAAAGAATTTGCTTCAGTTTTTAAACCTGCTGCTAAACCAGTTTTTTTATTTCATAGTTTTGCAGTCCTATTTCTCCATATGCTCCATAAACACATTAAGAATCTGCAGCAAAAGTTGTTATTGTTATTATTGAAAACCTCATTCACCCAGTCTGTAAAAGACACCTCCCCCTGTCAGCAAAAGTCCAGCCCATCAATCCCCAAAGCTGGTGGATACTCCACACTGTCAGAATATGTGCAAAGGACTTTCATTCTCCTGACACACACTACACAAATAGAAGAACAATTCACTCTCCTCCAAATCAGCTTGGCTGCTGTGGGCATTTAAGAGTAAAGGTACGACAAGAAAGGAAAGTTTTACTCTTATACCCGGAGCAAACCTGCCAAAAGAACACCTTAACTTTTGGAGGTATATGCAAACCCCACGCTCGAGTCCACGGGTTCTTCTGCTCTCTGACGATGTACATGGATAGAAAGTGGTTCCCACTTTTAACACTATTAACACGTAAATGTTAGTTTTTTATTATTGTAAACTTGCATCCTTCATGAAATTTAGAGCACAAGTTGTTGTGGATATATAAAGATTGGCCACAAAACCAATTAGAACTAAAACTTTCCTTTCTTGTCGTACCTTTACTCTTATACGGGCCATGGAGAGATGATATAAAATTTTAAATAGGAGGAACTAAAATTTTCTCTTTTTGCGAATATAAGTTCACTTGATTATTACCATAGATCTAGAGAAAAAAAGAATTACATAAAAAGAACACATTATGTTATATCTTGAAGGGATCTTTATCTTCTTACCATTGATATGTTAAAAGTGTTAGCTCAACAGAAAAGAGCAGAACAAAATAATGGTTTTCTCTTCATTCCATCATTGCTTTATAAGACCTTAATTTTATTGCACACATTGTATGGCATACATTGTTTTCTTTACATTCATTTTCCCAGAGTATGTATTTCTTAGTTTCTCTAACATGGATGATGGTCAGACTATTTAGGAGCTTTGGGAGATATTAAACATGGATAAATTACTTTGTATTTTAACTTTCTGTGAAGGAATAAGTTAAATTACTCTTTGTCTCCTTGTTTCTTTTATATTCCTCTTCTAAGCTGAATTCTCTTCTTTTACTTTCTTCCTCTCTTTAATTATCTTCTTTCTACATCACTTTCCTCACTTAAAACAGTCAGACCAGTTTTCATTAAAAAAAAATAGTCAGGCCACTTCTAGATTCATCTTCTTTGTACAGAATTCTAACCACCCGCATGAACTTCCAAGCTCATTAAAATTTGAAGTATCCATTTCCTTCCTGGCCAACCCAGCGTCTATAACGACACTGAAATCTGAACCTACATAGTCTTCTAGCTAGAGACTTTAATAGCATATTTTTAGAGCCCAATATGTAGTTACTTCATAAACGAGCAATTATAAACCGTTATGCTAACACATTCTATAATGTTTAAGCTATCAAGTGATTTACTGAAAGTCAATCCTTTTATAGTTATCGGACTAAATCCTGAAACCGATAATCACAAAACTTTAGGTTATCTTGAAAAATGTTATTTGCGTAAGAGCCTAATAATGAAACTGGTTAATTCATAATGCATAAGACTCCTGATTTTGAAAGCATTAAAACTATGTTAGGTTATCTTAGTGCTGGATACCGGCCCGGTGGATACCGGTTCACCGGCGGTTCGGGTCGAACCGGCCCGGTGGATACCGGTTCCGGGCCCGGGCCCTCTATTTGGTGAACCGGCCCGGCCGGTGGGCCCGGTCCGGGCCGGAATAATTTTTTTTTTTATTTTTTTTTTTTGAAATTTTTTTAATTTTTGGGTTGGATTAGGTATTTTGGGCCATTTGAGGTGGTTTGGGGTTGAGGGGGAGGGGTAGGGGGTTAAATAAGAGAAGCCAAAAAATCAAAAAAAAAAAATGGGGCGGGTGAACCGGCCCGGTCTGGCCCGGAACCGGCCCGGAACCGGTCACCTGCCAGTTCGGGCCCGGGCCCTCCTTTTGGTGAACCGAGGCCTGGCTGGTTCAAGGCCCGAACCGGGCCCGGCCCGAACCGAGTCCAGCCCTAGGTTATCTTGAAAAGTATTTGATTTTAGCAGTTTAAATTTTATTCCCAAAATGTGAAAATGTTGTAAAGGTCTTGAGTTCATTTCTGCTATGATGTTATGATATCGATTAACAAACCAATCCAAAGCATATAACATCGCTTTAATTTCTGCATGTGCAAGAACTCACCGCCATAGGATAGCAAATACCCACCATGAATCACTAATAAAGATTGCCTTCACGTTAAGTTTTGGATACACTGCTTTCAGTCCAAACTATTTAAGCATCCTATTTCTTGGCTTCCGTGTTTGATAGAAAGGAGGAAGAAACCCTGCAATTTTGGCCTTCGTGTTTGAAAGATAGGAGGCCAAAACCCTGCAATCTTATGCAAAAAGAGACTTTAGAACCCAAATAACATGCATGGAATGAAAAGTTTATTGAAAAGTAACGGTTTACTAAAAAAGCACGGTGGCAGTTATGATTCATTTGGTACGTGTCTAAACAATAACACAATTATGTGTTTTAACTGCAAATCAACTGTTTCCAGCAAGCAATTGCAAAATAACGATTTAGATGCAAAAAAAAGTACATGTGGAATGAAGCATGTACTCAAAGAATGAGTACCTTTGTTGAGTTCTGACTCTACCACGGAGAAGAAGCACAAAAATTCAGAAAAGAAAAGATAAGGCACCAGGAATTACAACATAAACCAACAAAAAATGCACTTGAGCTTTTTTAAAAAGAACCGCATAGGATTAGAGGCTTGAGAATGCATCTTACTATATTCACAAAAGAACAATATAGTTAAAATTTCATACATCAGACAGAATGTGGTGTTTTACCTGGTTTGTGCTTGTTGGAAACAGGCAATTTTTCACCCCTTGCACTTGAAAGCATAAAGAAAGCTGCATAGGAAGTAACATGTTATTTCTATATATAATGAAATTGAACATATCTACTCCTCAAATATAAAATAGAACATAAATTTGAAGTTTTTCGGGGAGAAGAAAAAGATGTCTATGAAGTTTTTCGGGTAGACATCCTTGAGAAGAAAAGGATGTCTTCAGGTAGTGCAGTAGAGGAAGCCATGGCTATGATTCTGCAACTTCAAAGGACATGAGAAGGATTGAAATGGATATTAAACAATACAAAAGGATAGCTCAAGAGAAGAACACCATGACCAAGAAGTGCAAGTGGCCATCAGAATGTGTTGCTTTGGAAGGTTGAGATTTGGTGGCCAAAGTTGGAAGCAATTTATGATGATGAACAATGAAGACTCCGAAGAGGAGACATCAACTTGGAGCTCTCAAAATGAACAAAAAAGTTTAAATTTTTGTTTATTTGGTCCACCATAAACCCGAGTGTCCTATTCGAGATTCATTCAAAACATTTGGTGTCATTTTTTGCCTTTCTCCCGATTTCCCAAAGTGCTTGTTGCTATTTGGGAAGAAGAAAGAAATGTAAAAAAAAACGGAAAGTGCAAGTAGGTTTCCGAAGAGAAACAGACAGAAATCGTCATTCATTTTATTAGAATCCAATGGATGAGAAGAAAAGTTGTAGAAGCGGGAAACTCATTTCTAGAATTGTAATGCTATTAAGGAGAGGATGAACGAATAATCAAAATCCGAAGTAAATATAGACCACTTTTGGAATTGAATCTCAACCCACAACCAAATTATCGATCAAAAAGAAAAATCCACAACTAAATTAAAAAACAAATACATATGTAGTATTGCACTATATATCTTTCTATATATAAACCATTGTGGAAAGGCAGGTAGATTTCCCGCCCAAATCCATTGAGTCAAGACCGGGTCAAAAATTAAACGGCCCAAAAATGGGCTTAGCGTGTTACACACACTGCAGCATTAAATGTCTCTGACTAAAGTTGATGTGTGTGTTAATAGAGATGGGAGAATGAATGATTTTCGTATATTTCACACACACTTGAAGTTGGTTTACAAGGCTGCTATTTATACACATCCTAACAATGTATATAAGGTAAATAATAATCTTCACTAAATGACAAAAGATTGTAACGGCTAATCACAATATTCTACTTATTCTATAATAAGTGCAAATTATTTCTTTCTTTCAATGTGTGAGTACTGTTTCAAGATATCAGTCTTTTCAAAACTTTTGGAAAGCATTAAGTGAATAGTTGTGTTGTACATTTTGAGATCAAAAGTTCGTATCCAAGTTCTTCCATAAGTACATTAGTACATACTCCGTATGCATTAAATGCAATGAAGCTTCTGAAGCACACTTTGTAAATTAACTACTCCGTAGATGTCTGTTGGTTTATACTCGTAGCTATTGTTATCTACTGGTCCGAATATATCAACTCCACCAATGCACTACACACAGGCCCGATTGTAGTATAAATAGATTGCCTCTCTTGGTTGAGAAACACATCCCACAGAATCACAAAACATCACCCAACAAAAAAAACACCACCCAACATATTCCAATGGCAGAAAACTCAGGAATTTACTCATTAATTAGGGAACTTGACCACTCCAAAAAATCCTAGGCTATAAAGGTAAAGGTAGTGAGACTTATGAAACATTAATTTGAGAAGTACTTTTACATTTACTTAATTTGAGATGTACAAAACATAAATTACAAAACATAAATCCACAATAGTATACATGTACATTAAAATCATATTTTGGTTCGCTTCAGTCTGGTACCGGTTCGCATTTTATGAGAACCAGTATAGTCCGGTTCGACACAAAAATTTTGCGATCCGTTTCAAACTCCATTTTTCGGTTCGGTACCATGCCGGTTTGGTATTTTTGCGGTTTTGCCCACCCCTAATTTTAATTATAATTCCTTTAAAAACATTCTTTACCACATTTATTACAACCAAATACAAAGAATGCTTTTCTCACTTTCCCCTCTATTTCCCCTCCAACAACTTACGTTCAAGCCTTTTCCTTCCCCAAACTCCCAAACAACCCTTAGTGATCACAAAGACAATTATGGTAAGGTTAAGACATTAACGATTAAATGGTATGGTTTATGTGGCTCGCTATCCTAGGTGAATGGAATCAGCCTTTATGCAAAGTGCAAACATTTGAGTGAAAATGAAGAGAACCCTAAATTGTACTAAACACCACGATATCTGCAAATGAAAATGCAGATCCACCTAAATTTGGAATAAGGTGGTAAAAGGTTATTTCTAGAATAAATAAATGTAGTTATAGAACTGTCAAGATACCGGCAGAATCATTAAATGATTAACTTGCTATCTAAGCTTCACAACTTTTGGAATTACTACAAAGTTATCTGGATGTTCAAGGATTATATGCGAATTCCATTATTCCAAATTTAACAGGTCACAAATATCTTAAGCAGCCAAAAAGACTCATGGAGTTGATGACTTTAATACACCTGGTAAAGAAAATGAAAATGAATATTAAACTTTATTGGCATTATATATGAGATCCTCCTCATCAATCATATTTGTTGCATCATGATTCATGAGCGAGCTGTTTTAATACTCCTCTGAGTGATTTCTTTTCCCCCTGTAATTCCAAACTCTTCCTCATCACCCATAACTGTCTAAAGTCCAAAGCCTGAAAATTGAAGGAAATAAATAATATTATAAAAATAGGAACAAATTAAAACGGGAGAACACCAAGAAAATATAAAAGGATGGTCCATTCAAGAAGAAACTTTCTTATTTTAAAATGAACACCTAGGAATTATCATGTGATCCAAAAATATGCTAAAAATAAAAAGAGTTAGCAAAGAGATGCATTGAAATGTGACCATTAATCATTGCATTTACTTGTTAGGGGTTTCAGGATTAAGGGGCAGACTCTTATTCGTTTAAAAAACATTAATCACTGTATCAAGCATAGCCTCCAAGCCTGTTAAGTAACTACAAATGAAACAAAAAGGTTTTAACCATTATCAAAGCCGAAACAACCACATCATGTTAATAAAACACATAAAACATAGCAAAACTGACATAAAGAGCTCATAAAAAGAAGGTGCAACGGAAATTTTGTAAAATAAACCATTGATATTAAAGTAATATGAATACGATAATCTTATCAGCTTTCCAATATGAAGGAAAACAGAAAACAAAACAATAATTAAAGAAGTTGCATGTAAGATGACGGGTATTAACACTGGCCTGTTTGTTAACCACCAAGTGATCTCAGGAACTTCGCCTTGTGAATTGCAACCACAACATAAATCCAATTAGCAAAGCTGTTAAGGACTGTGAAAAACGCAAACCTACAGGGCCTGTTGAATAGCATCGTCCAAAGAACTCCCAAAAATCCAACACCATATCCAACCCCCATGCTTGCATAGAACTCACCTCCAAAAAACTTTTCTTCTTCTTCTTCACTGGATCCATGAGGAGAAGAATAAGTTGATTCTTCTCCAGCACAGCTATTGGGGAGTGGGTCTCCACATAGAGCGGGATTCCCCCTGTATAAACTTGCATTAAAGCTCTGAAGTTGTGTGCCCTTGGGAATTCTTCCAGATAAGTTATTATTTGACACATTGAGAACCCCTATGCCGTGAATCAGGGCAAGGCTTTGAGGAATGCTACCAGACAAATGGTTACTAGACAAATCAAGAGCATCTAATTTTGCCAAGTTACCAATTCTCGGAGGAATATGACCCGTTAGATTGTTTCGTGATAAGTTCAACGAGACCAACTCAACAAGAGATGTGATCTCAATTGGAATTTCACCACTCAACGTGTTGGATGAGAGATCAATGCTCTTTACGTCCCTTAATGTATTTCCAAATTCAGAGAAAACACCTTTCCATCTAACCTCTATTATTTCATCTTCTACAGAGGCGGTATGCCATATGTAATTTGAATAAGTGATATTGAATGCTAACGTATTAGAAATGGTGGAAATGTATCCGCCTTTTGTTATAATCATCATTTGAGTGAGATTAGAAAGACAGTTGGGAAGAGTCCCTGAGATGTGGTTCATGGATAGGTCCAACAACTGAAGAGACTGGAGACGGCACAGACTTGTGGGCACACCTGCATAGAAGTTGTTGGATCGTAGCACAAGTATCGCAAGTTGTGTTAGACTCTCACCCATCCAATCTGGTATTGGTCCAAACAAGTTGTTGTGTCCCAGATGTAAAGATGCCAAGGTTGAGCAGCTTTTCATGGATGAAGGTAGAGGGCCTATAAATTTATTATGGTCAAGATGCAATGCCTTCAGGGAGGCCAATGACCCGATGGAAGTTGGAAGAGTCCCTGATAAATTGTGATTGTTTCCCAAGTTGAGAACTTGAAGACTAGAGAGACTTGACCAGCAATCCGGAAGTGTTCCGGAAAGTTGATTGAATGAGACATCCAAAAGCTGCAAAGGAGAAAATGGCTTGACGTCACATAAGGAGGTGAGGTGGGTGAAGTTATTCCGAGAAAGGTACAATACTTTCACATTGAAGAAAGAGGGCGGAATGACACCTTCTAATTGGTTGGAGCTCATATCTAGTTCACCACCTTGGATCGATGCTTGAGCACCATTTCCAATTACTCCCTTTAGTCCATTATTAGAAATATTAATTTTTCCAAAGTAAGTAGTCATGTTCCAAAACGATGAGGGGATTGAATCCGAGATGGTGTTATTGGAAATGTCAAGCTCCATAATGTTGACTTGAGTTGTGAGCCAATTGGGAAACTGAGGGCCCAAATTGCAAGAACTAAGGATTAAGGTTTCCAATTGGAAAGGAGGAAGCCAAGCGGAGGTGATATTGAAGGTGAAATTGTTTGAAAACAAAGCTAGGATGCGAAGTTTGGAGAGGTTAAGAAAGTGATGTTCAGAAATGACCCCACCTAGGAGGTTATTCCCCAAATATAATTGGGCCAAAGAGGGAAACATGGTAAGATCAGGAAATAGTCCCCTCAATCTGTTGTTGTCTAAATTTAAGATTTGTAGAGGGTGGTTTTGGCATAATGTGGATATGACTAGGCTTCCATTAAGAAGGTTGGAGTCCAAATTCAAGGCTTGCAAAGTGCATATGTTCCAAATGGATTTGGGGATTTCTCCTTCAAGTGCATTATCCGGAAGATTAAGGTATTCAAGGACTGGCATGCTCCCTAGAGTTTCAGGAATGTGACCTTTCAATTCATTCCCTTCCAGGTCAAGGTCAGTTAACTTAACCATGTTTGCTAGTGTGTCAGGAATGGGACCTTGTAGACTATTTTCGGAGAGATCAAGGTATGTAAGGGCAGGCATGCTGTTTCCAAGATTTTCAGGAATGAAACCTTCTAAGTCATTACCGAAGAGATCAAGGTATGTAAGGGAAGGCATGCTATTGTTCCCAATCAATGATGAGATGCTCTTGTTCGCCAGCAAGCCATGGTTATAGCCAAGATCCAGATACTTCAAATAGCGCAGCTCAAAGAATGGAAGGCTGGTCGTATACATACGGTCTTTCGCGGACAGAAACATACCATAAAGATGGATATGGACGACATGGCCAGTAGCGTCATCACACCTAACCCCCTTCCAGTCGCGGCAGCAATCTTCACTGTGGTTGCCCCAAGAGTGTAGCTTGTCCTGCTGGTCAAGAACGCTGTGTTTGAACCTGAGGAGCACTTCTCTCTCTCCATCAATGCATTTACTGGCAGCAGCCACACCAATCGCCAGCACCAGCACTGCAATGGACGACCATACCAATAATAATCTACCCATTCTAACTCTCCCCCTGCTTCGATCTTCCAACTTTGTGTAATTTGCTAGCTGATAAATTGTTAGCTTCTAAGTACGTGTGTTAGACTAGCTTATTCCTCCCACCTTCTCTTGTATTGGTGCTTGTGTGTGTGTGGATACAAGCATATATAGTACTTCCCACCGCCGTGTGAATCAAACTATTCATGAAGACAAAAAAGCTTTGTGTACACACTATGTGTACAAAAATCTTCTCTCTCATATAATCATGCGCCCTTCTCCCTTACCTACGCTCCTTTCCGTCCTCTTTCTGTGCGGCCACGTTGTGCCACTTTTACCTTGAGGTCTGTTAGAAAATTAACTAAGACCACACATTTGCCCCCAATTAAAAAAGATAGTTGCCCCCTATAACTTATCCAACGGCTGAATTTAAACAACGAGAGGGATTTTAATTCACAGAAGCTGCTTCACAGGGAGAGGAAACGACAAAGCACTACCCGATTGTGAAACACTCAATTAACTGCACTGAGAAGTGTACTTTTTCCTTCCCCAACTTATAAATGCAAACTAGCAATTGAATTAACTGCACTATAACTAAATTAGCTAAATTCTAATAGTATTAACCATAAAATCAGCTACGTAGTGTATTATAATTAACTCTGTACTAAACACTTTTAGGAAAAAAAATATTGTTTATATAGTTAACAAATACAGTAAATATTGGTTAGTTTACTTTAGATGGTTAAAGTAAGATTTGAAGTATATAAAGAGTATACTAGTTACTAAAATTTATTAGGAAAACTGGCAAATAGGTGCTCGAACTTTCATAAAAAAGTCAATTAAGCCCTTCTATAAGAGACTCTGTCCGCCCGTCGCGATTTGGGGCGATTCCCGCTGGAATTTTTTGATGAAATTTTTTGAGCATTTTATTCATCAAGTCTAATTTACTCATACCAAATTTCAACAAAAATTCAATTGAGAACACATTCAAATTAATTTGAGAACGCAAAAATGCGCAGTTATTGAAAATGACATAACAAAATTTTATATAAATGAGATCAATATCTAAAATTATTCTCTATATCAGTATATCTCACAAGTTTTCCCATTATTGGAATATTTAAAAAACAAAAACAATAATGTGTGACGATATTAGTTAATTATTTAATTAGAAAGTGAATCAATATTATAATTAAACAAAATCTTCTTACAAGAAATTTAAAAGTTTGTTTTGATATTTTTGCATTGAGTGAAAATGATTTTATTGTTAATGGCACCGTGCAACATAGGATTTATTGAAAAACCGGAATTCCAACAAGACCATGGAGACACAATGGCGTGGGGCCGCAAACCTGAGAGTAAACATAGAGAAACTCTGGTTTGTTCTAATTCAAGAAAACTTTGCATCATTACAACCCCTCACATTTATACAATTATTTTTAATTTTTAAGTAATTTTCAAAACATGTAGGCGGGACCTGAGAAAATGAAGGTCTCAACGTGGAAGCTGATCAAACATTGTTGGACAAAGGGCGGCGATGAGTCGGATACCGAAGTGCCACCTCGCATCGCCGAACTTGAAATAATAACATCACATCAGTTATTTAATAAAATTCAAAATAAAGATGATCTAAACTATAATAAATTTTTGAACATGTACACGAAGTATCAGGCACAGGTTGAGAAGAAATGTGTCGAGTTAGGCCTGACTGACTTAGATATCAAACTCGATGAAGATGCGGATGATGAGGCGATGTTGGATGTTGCCGGGGTTTATAAGGGCTGAATTCCATGCATGGGGGCGAAGGGCTACTACGGATTTTGCACAACTCCAGAGGAGAAGCTAGCTCATCATCTTCTCGATCGAGGGTAGAGGATGCATGTATTGCCCAACTGCAACGAGAATTGTAGGAGCAACGGGAACAGGACTGAAGAACAAGAGAAAGCCTTGAAGTGATGGAACAACAAATGCGTCAATTCAACGCCAGATATCGGTCTGAAATATATATAAGGCACCCTGAGATAGATGACTCCTCAAGTTCCGCACATGGGCAATATGGGTTATCATTCTAATTGATCTAGGTTTAGCATGCCTTCAATAGGGTCAATCGGATCTTTTCCGTACAAAATTTTTAACCAATTTCAGACACCCAGGGCAGTTGAGGAGGCAGGCGACCCAAAGAGCCCAAAGAGGATGTTATTATTGTTTATGATGATCCTAGATATCATTACAGAGGAAATCCCCGGAACAGTCTGTAATAATACATTGTTTAATTTAAATTGAGCATCGGTCAAATTACTCTTATAATTCCAGTGTGTAATAATTACTTTATTAAATTACTGTTAGATTAAATGTGTATGAATTTCTATTCTATTTAATTTTTATAATTCTAAAGCAATTTTTTTAATAATTTTTTTTTTAAAAAAAATTATTTTAAAAAAAAATTAAAATGATTGTCACGGATTCGTTCCGTGACAAATGTTTTGTCCATTTTTTTAAAATTTTTGTTTTCAAAAATAAATTTTAAATAAAATAATTTTTAAAAAATAGAAAAAATTTGTCTCGATGTGGCCCGTGACAAATTTTGAAATTGATTCCCGCCCATAAATTTTTTTTAAATATCAAATTTTCCCACTCATTTTATTTCGGATACACATTAAAATTTAAAAAAAAATGTCACGAACGATTCGGTTACAAATGTGACGATTTTTTTTTAAAAGTTTGTCGCGGATAAATTCGTGACAAATGTGGCGGAATAGCAGCTACGGTGACAATTTTGTCACTGATACGGGCCATGACTAGTCCGTGACAATGATTGTCACGGATCTCAATCCGTGACAAAAGTTTGTCACGGCCGTTTTGTCACGGATTTTGTCAGTGACAAAATTATTTTGTCACGGATTTTTAACACTACAGTCCATGACAAAGTCCAAGACAATGTCCCTGATTTTTTGTAGTGATAGACAGATACACATTAGGTAAATTGCGTTCACTTACAAGCTACACCCATACTTGTGCTATAACTTACTTCGTACATGATACTTGAGGTTTAGTAGATAGACTCAGGTTAATTTCAATAATAAGAAATAGCTCAACCTAGCATAAGGAATTATTAATTTCAATGTCTCTTTAAACACACGAAACTTGTTTTACTGAAAATAAAAATGTGCATGTACAGTGCACATGTGGAAGGGCGCGAGGAATCAAAGCCTCACGCAATGCATGCGCCATTGCTAGTATTATGATATGGGAAAAGTGATGAGCCTGGCAGGGTACGTCTTAGTTAGTGATATTAAAAGTGGAGGTGTTTTATGTAATAAACTTGAAGCAAAAGCTGTGTAATACATGATTAAGGGGGTGTAGCCATGTAGGGGGTGTTTGGAGCTGATTCTGCTTCTCCTTCTTTTTTAAAAGCAGAAGCAGAATCAGAATCAGTTTTCAGAAGCTGGTACCTCTCAGCTTCTAGAAAAACTGATTCTGGGAGTAAATTAGAGCTCCAGAAGCACTTCTGGAATTTCACCCAAACACTCCACCTTCTGATTCTACTCCCTGAAGGAGCAGAATCAATTTTGAGAATCAGATCCAAACACCCTCTTAATCACATTGATAAAGGTGCAGTGCTAAATATTAATGTGTCGTTTTTTTCTTTTCATGTTCACACATACTCCTATATATTAGGTAACTTTTGTGTATATACATCCGTATGGATCTATCTATGGAAAGTGCCTGTAGTGTACACATGCTGAAAATTTTGATGAGATATACACGATACTTGAGGTTTAATATATAGACTCAGGTTAATTCCAAAAACAAGAAATAGGCCAGCATAAGGAATTTTTAATTTCAATGTCTCTTTAATTTAATGAAAAAAGCAATGTTTTATTTGATATCTAGCTCATTTGTCTTGTATAAGTAATTAAGCACTAAATGTAGTACTTTGCACATGGCATTGAGAACAAAGTAATAAATTTATACGAGTACTATACAAGAGCTATTCAAGCCTGGACATAGGCTAGGCCAGATGGCAGCAGGAATGCAGGTGAGGTAGTTTGTTGTGGTAGCTAGGGAGGAAGAGCAGGGTGTTGAATCCAGGCAGAACGAAGTAAGGGTTTGGTATAATGATAGCTTGGACTCGAAAAAGAATGGGGGAAGTTGCGCCACTCCTTGGTTGCTAGATAATAAAAGAGTCCTCTATTGTGGTGGGATCTGGGAAAAAAGATCTTGTTAGCGGTGGCTCTATGCACTGCTTTTCGGGAGAAGGATGCGTAGTGAGAGACGTAAAACACTTTTCCTTGGAGATCGTCCACCGTTTGCCACACATGAGTGTGAGGATCAAGCTTGAGGACACAAACCTCGCCGCTGGTGTCCTCTAGAGTTGCCACACACATGATGTCTCCGTCGCTTTCGAGTAGGAATTGATGTTTGAATGTCTGAAACAGTTGACGTGCAGGCTTGCCAAAAGCGTCCGACCAAACCATATTCGGCCGGAAGCAAAGCCGTCCCAAATTCCCAGATTCACCTAGAACATAAAAGTTCCCATCACAGGCAATGGGGGGGCATTTGGACGATACCTCGAAGCCGCCTGGCCCGTAATTGATAGTGTCAGCAAACACGGACCAAGAACCCGCTCCAACCATTGTTGTTCCGATATAGGCCACTTGCTCTGGCTCCCAACTCACAAAGCCAACAATTCTACACGAGGGAGAAGTTGGCGAACCGGAAAAGCACATCACTTCGAATGAGATTGTGCCCATGTCGTGTACCGATACCGGAGGAAGGTCTACCCTGCCACCGGTGGAGGGGTTAAAAAGGAAGTATGAATTGGGGCCTTGGCGAAGAAGCATCCAACCGCAGCTGGCATAATAGCAGTGAACGTCCTCGCCCAATAGTTGAGGAATGTGTACTGAATATGTAGTGGCGCCTCTGCGAGTCGGATCCTGGAAATTGAACCTGCCAGTCTTGGGGTCCAAGTACATGAGATGCGGCACCGAAAATAATGAATCTGAAGGAGGCGGCGGCGGAGGATCGTGATGAGATGCAAACGCCGGCATCCTTGCTGCCGCCAACTTCCATGATTTGCACACGCACTCAAAGCTCGCCTCATCTCCCATCACATCCAAACGTGACAAAATACAGCACAACAGCTCCTCGTTTAGATCACCCCAGCATGCCCTTTCCTCTTCCTCGTCTTTCTTCCCGCTGCCGCAGGCGGCCGATGCTTTTTTGCCTATCAATCCTGAATTCCTCATGGAAACCCGGCCTTAACCAAATATGATTGCGTTCGTGCGGAGGGAGGCCTCGCAATTATGTTTATATATATAGACAGAGAGAACCGAAGAGATGGATTGGTTACCAATTCAATGAATAATATTACGTACCCGTAGATATTCATATTTGGCAACTGTATGATTTGGTTTAGCTCCACAAGGACACTTTAACTTGCCAAAATTCATGACAGCTAGTATGTACCCGAATTAGGATTGTCATTTTTACGACCTTCTCGATCGAATTTTGAGCTGAAATTTGGTATGGACAAACTAGACTTGATGAGGAACATGCTCAAAACATTTCATCAAAAAATGCCACCGGGAAGGTGCCCAAACGGGCTCGGCCGGACGGGGCAGCCCGTCAGGCCAGCCTGATGAGATGATTTCTCTATATATATATAAATATATATATATATACACTAAAAAAAATTGTTGGGATGGGGGGATAGCTTCCCAGAGTCTCTACTACGGTCCACCACTGTACGTCGTACGTGGGTGCATAGGATATCAATCAATCTCTACTATCCGTGAGCTCATGTCAATCTCACTCAACAACTTGGACCAGTTACAACAGGCTGATCTTTAAACGTTACTATATCAATACTGTAACATGTTAATTACACTATCAAATAAACTCTCGAGGGCAAAAAATTTGGATCGAGACAATTTCCATGCAAAAATATACATGTGGTTTAAGTAAATGCTCTCAGTTTGACTTGGATCAAAGTTAAACAAAGTGAGAATAGAATGAAAATGTATATATAGTAGTGATTGAGTAAGAAAAGGTAAATAAGTGACGTTAACACAAAACTTTTCAAAAAGGTAAATGAAAAGAATTATAAGAGACGGAGAAAGTGTATAAATATAACCATGACGTTACTCCAAACTTTCAACTTGGGCATCATAGTCCCCGATTTATGATCTTCGATCTTGGGTGCGATAAGGATGACACCCCATCCCTGAGGGCCCCCCAACACCGACCGGACGACACGATGGGAGGATGTAAATTGGACTATAATCACAATCTGATAGATAGAGAGTGGGGCTCTGTCCCCGGTACTTGCAGAAGCCATATGCATTTTTCAGCATAGTAACCCCTCATCGCAGTTGCCGGGATTCGAACCCGAGACCTAACCCTTAGGGAATGGTTGGGCATGGACAACCACATGACCACATTGCAAAGCTCGGTCAAGTGGATAATCAAGAAGTACAAGGGCTCAACCTTGAAGGCAAAAGCGGTCCATTGAAATACACATGTGACATACACTTGTGACATACACATGTATGAAATTTTTCTCCATTGAAATTTAGAGTATGTTTGGCACAACTACTTGAAACGATACTTTTGTGAACTTTTTAATAACTGTTAGCTTTTAGTGACTGAAAAGATCTTAAAAAGAAAAGATGGTAGCTGTTTGGTAAAAACTGACTGTTAGGATTTAGTTCGGGTTGGTATACAAGCTGTTAGGATTAATTAGTACGGAGTACTAAAAGTCACAATCTTTTCTCAGATGCTACTCTCATAGAATTTCAAAAAAGATCATTTAATTTTTGAAAAGCTCTTAAAAATTGTCATGTCAAACATACAACTAGAAATTTTTAGAGACTTGTAAACAATAAAGACAAGGACTTATACCCACCAAATATAGCCTTAAAATATATATCACGTACGTTCTACAAATTAAGTACAATCTTTGGGTCAACATTTTTTGTCCCGTAATGTAATATGACCTCAAATTACGGGAGCAAAATTTTACTCCTTCAAATCCGAGTAGTCCTCGATATTACTCCTTGCAATTCATACTCAGTCTTTAATTCGTACTTATTTTTCACTGGAAAACCGTTTTAACTCATATATACATTGAGGATAGAAGTGTGATTTATCAAACCGTTCAACTTGTCTCACTTCGCGTTTGGTCGTGTTCAAAGTGTTATTTTAGACGTTTATATATATGCACCACACGGTCCACACTAGGAGCATAACTCCGCTAATTATATACTCCCTCCGTCCCAATTTGATGATCTCATTTCTTTTGGGTTCAAAGATTAAGAAAGTGATTGAAAAGTTAAAAGTTGTGGTTGCGATTTGAGTAGAAAAAGGAGAAATGATGTGGACCATATATATTTCTTTCCAAAAAGAGAAATGAGACTATCAATGTGGGACGGCCCAGAAAAGAAATACGGGATCATCAAATTGGGACGGAGGGAGTAATATATTCTTATGATTTGGATAACTTAAAATACCTCATACGAGTATTAGTTACGAAAATCCAATAGAATTGTTTAGACTTTAGAATCAATGCTAGGGATCTCATGGATTTATAATGTGAGTCTATTAACAATCGTAAATTTGATTAATTGGGTTTGATACGGTAAGGCCACAATACAAGGTGACTGAACGGGAGCTGACAATATTGAACAAAGTATAGAACAAGCCTGAGGGCTTGATAATATTGTGGCCATTTGGCAACACTCTTTTACGACTTGTCAGGATCATCAACTAATTTTTCACTAAACACGTAATTTTTGCTTTCGTGCGCTAAATGGTGTAATAAGCAGAAAAAGTAAGGTTGAAGTTACTTTTCTGGCTGTATTGGCTGAAGTTACTGTTGATGACCATTTTAGTTATTTTTACATATAGTTTTTTCTTTATTTTATTATATTTAATTAATAAAATATATTTTAAAAATAATTTTTCCTTAAATCAGCAGAATCAGCCAATGCAGCCACAACTTCATAAATTTCATCAGAATAAGCCAAATCAGCCGATTTTCGTGCTACCAAACGGACTTATTATGTGTGACCAATTAGACCTTAGAAATTGATTGTTGTTCAAATAGAATTACTTATAGATAACCAGCTACCTAGTGTAGTATTTGCACAGGTGTGAGGACGGTGGTCGAGCACAACTCTAAAGTGCCTTCTACTTTCTACTTGCGTTTGCAAAACTAAAAGGCCTCATTTTGTGCAAACCGCTGTTCGCTCCACATATCAAATTTCTTCCCATAACTAGATTACGGTTGTTTTTGCTCAACCGTATTGATTTTAGTCCCACTATAGGATTTTTCTATGGTATTGGTACCTGCTTAAATAGACAAGGTACCGATACCCAATGTTTATTAGCCAATCAAATACTAGTATGAACTATGAAGCCACGCAACCCTCCTATATTAGTATACTAAGTTTGATTATTTGCATCGTAGTCCCTAATCAACAAGCAGTTAGCAGGCCAAGTGAAGGTTAGGCAGAAAACTACCCATCAAGTCTCCGACTCTCCGCACTTCATCTACATAATTTCCTTATGCATCCTGCGTCGTGTTTTCTTTCTATAGTTTCCATTCATTTATTTTTGTACCCTTTGATTTTTTCATCTATTCATAAATCATAAGCTTGTTTCCAGTTTATCCGTTTCACCTATCAATTTTTTTTTATTAAATATATCGTTTCTATTCATTTATTTTAGTATCATTTTGTTTATTCTGCCATACATTACTTTTTATTATTATTTACACAATTCAGCACGTGAAACAAAAAATTACATAAAAATAACTAAAATGATCCAGTTAATTTAGGAGGCCATTTGAAAACACTGTTTTTTGGCTTATCAGCCAACTTTTTCACCAAACACAGTAATTTTTGCTTTCACGTGCTGAATTGTGTAATAAGCAGAAAAAGTAAGGTTGAAGTTACTTTTCTGGCTGTATTGGCTGAAGTTATTGTAGATGACACGTTTTAGCTATTTTTACATATACTTTTTTCTTTATTTTATTAATAAAATATATTTTAAAATATTTTTTTTTAAATTAGCAGAATCAGCCAATGCAGCCAGAACTTCATAAATTTAAACAGAATAAGCCAAATCAGCCGATTTTCTTGCTACCAAACGGGCTGTTGAATTACTTTCCTGGCTGAATTGACTAGAGTAACTGTAGAGGATCATGTTGGTCCCAAATATGTAGACTAACAAACAGCTAAATGGAATCCATCAATAAAACAAAGAAGGAATCAGAGAATGATCGGAAGAATATCGAATAGTGAAATCCTTCTTTCTATTGATATCGAGAACTTTTACAGAGTGAATGCTACAGCTGATTTTTACATATAATTTTTTCTTTTACAATATACGCGCATATTTATAGGCGTAGGTACATATGCCGAAATAAGCTATCCTAGAAATTTGTGCCTAAGTCTCATTTGGCCCTATACCCATTCTAGTCTATTTATTACTCCGTGCATATTAGATAATGCTATAAAAGTTAAAGATAAACCTATTTATTAACAAAACCTAACACAAACTTGACTCACATCAAATATTCCCAACAATTATTTTAGTTATTTTGATGTAAATTTTTTCTTTAATTTATTAATAAATATGTACTCTATATTAAATATATATTTTCGATAATTCAACACATTCATCAAATTTAATCACTTCAATAAGTTTAACACAAATTTCAGTAGATTTAGTAAATTCACAGGCACTCAGTCTCTCTCGATCTCCCGAACACTCTAATCCAGTGACGGATCAAGAAAATAAATCCAGGGCCGTTTGATGACTTGTGTTTTTGGCTAGCTTATTAGACTTGTCAACCAATTTTTCACCAAATACAAAAAATTTAATTTTGCGCGCTGAATTGTTAATATTCAAAATCAAAATAAGTTAGGTTGTTATTATTAGTAATTGATAAAGTTATTACAGAAGATGATTCTAACTATTTAATATAATTTCTTCCTTTTTCTATTAATAAAATATATTTTAAATATAATTTTTACTTAATTGAACATATTTAATTAGGTAAATTGCACAAAAATAATAATATAGAAATATATAAACTCATTATTTAGGTATTAAGAGACTTGTAATTACATGAGGTAAGGATATTATTGTAGTATGTCGGCATATTTTGTATCGTGATATGCTAGTTGCCGTGAAAAGAAAATTGGGTGTAGAGAAAATTAGAATACTCCGAGGAAATTAAACGGACGAAGTGGGTGGACAAATATTTGGTCGGG